GCCGATTTTCCTGGAAAACAGGGAAACACCGCGGGCCAGAATCAGCCGCTTCCTATTTCGCCAGTCGGCCCCGGAATCGGCCGATCTTGTCTAGCGTGTCTGACTATGTCTCTCTGTTTCTACTTGCGCTCGTCTGGCGGTAAATGTGGACGATTTACGAGTTTCTCTGCCATCGGAGCGTTTCTTTCTTCCGACGGTAACAAGATTATTTGTCGATTATTAATTCACTTTGATCCTTGTTTTTTTGGTGTATATATTCTTTGATATATATATATATATAATAAAGATTCATGTTTTATTTTCTGACGAGGTACTTGTATCGTCGTTTACGTTAAAATATCGATGTATCGGAAAATTGCTTTTAAATATTGCTAAATAAATATTACAAATATCGCTTTCTAAGCGTTATTTATATTGTTTCTATATTATTTATATTATACTATTATATTATAATATTTACGTTAGATACGAGTACTCTTTTCTAAAGTCTTCTAATTAAAGTATTATTCATATTATGTTTATTTGTCTGGGAATGGATATTTAATTTGCTGTATTCTGATTAATTTCTATTCAATTATAATGAACTATGGATATTCCGTACGATATTATCTTGACGACTACATGACTAGTTTTCATCGCTGTAGAACAGTTATTATTTTATATATTCTCTATATAAATGAATCGAACGATACAAAGAAAGATAACGTGAATGAATTGAATGTAACATTTTCAAGAATCGTTATTTCGCCGTAAATAAGAACGCTAAGAATAAATTAGCATAGAACAGTACAGTAATCAACGTCCGATGTAGTATTAATGTACGACTGAATGAATTTATAAGAAATTAGATCTGAGAAACGAATTCTTTATCCTTGTTGTTAACGACAGGAGTAAACTTTTACGTCAAATTATAAGATACTTTAATGAAATAATTTCCTCGTTCTACTATTCTACTATCGCAAGAATCGAAATTATTTCGCGCTAATTTAGCCGATTTACATTAGATTTCGTACTATTAATTAGTATAGGATTAATGAAATTTATTTAGTCGAATTTAAATAAACTCCATGGAACACACGATCGAATCGAATTTCGTTATAATTTGGAGGATAAATACTTCTTCTTTTTTTATTATCTATTGTTTTATGACACGTTCAGAGCCTAAAGAAAAGGTCCGGCATTTTTTTCGTAATCGCGTACACGAATGCAAATTCGATGGGTTTTATGACAGGGATCTTTGGGCTTCGTTTAATGGGAACTCGTTCCATCGGTTTTATCGTTCGATGGAGTGATCGTTGGAATTTATCGGTCCGCTACATTATTATGCCGAGGGAAATATTTAGACTTTTGCCCATTTGATAAGATCGGTTTTATGGAAATTGCTCGCTTTTACGAGGAAAGATTTCGCTACGAACACAATATATAAATGTATATAAATATCAAAGCTTTTCTCTTTTGCTTCGATTCTTTCCCTATTTCTCACGGAACGATCGCAACTACATTCGATTAGATAGTCATCTTTATGCTTCTATGTTCTATGAAATACATTCGAAAGCACGAAACGAGCATTTCTGACTGATTAAACTGATAAATTCCTTCGCTTCTATATTTTCATTTTATAACACGTTTTCTACGAAAGTATCAATTTTTTTTTTTTTTTTTTAAAAAAATGCGCCAAGCTACTGCCATAATAATAATTTCTCGCCGATTAAACCCATAGATTCGTTCATTTTTATATGACATAGTATTCTGTAAACGTATTGGTATATTTTCTACGAAGGAGATAACATTTCGAAACAAAGAGCTTAATTCTATATGAAATTACTATGGTGCAAATATTTTCTGATCGATCGAACCGATAAATTCGTCCACTTTCGCATTCTTTGCTATTTTGTACGTGCATTAAAATATATTTTCTGCGAATGTAGCAATTTTTTTTATTACAAGAAGAGTAATTCCATACGAAATTACCGTGGTAAAAGCACTTTCTCACTGATTGAACAAATCAATTTGTTCGTTTTTCAATATTCCCTGATATTCTATAGACGTGTTAATAAATTTTGTTAATATGTTGAAGTAAATCGACTAATTCCGTGTGAGACGCGATTGTTCAGAAAGATAAAAGGTAGTAGACTGACCTCGAGAGTCTGTCGTAATGTGAGATCGGGAAAGAAAACGTCCTGCTGTTGCACGTAACAGATTCTTCTGCGCCATCTTTTCGTCAGCCTTTCACGATTCAGCCAGATTTCACCCCCGTCCACGCCTACACGGCCTGACAGGCAGTTCAATAACGTCGTTTTGCCGCAACCTGTTCAAATAAAATCAACATTTACATTTATCGGAAGGACAGACGTTCAGGAAATGTTACTCTTATATCATATCAAATATATCTCACTTATATTATACCAAAATTTAATGCGTAAGCTATTTGAATTTTAATTCTTGTATAATCGGATGACATTAATCCTTTAATCTCAAGAAGCAAACTGTCTTTGGATCAAGTTCATTTATTTTTTAAATTTCGTTATATGTATCATCTATTCGTATTTTTCACCATTTCACCCAGCCTTTCTTCTCGTTGTACGAAATTTGAATAATAAATCAAATTTAAATAACTCGAGAAAGTAGCTTACAATTGACAAAATTTCTCCTTTTTGTTTCGCAAAATTTTACACAAAATCGTCGAGCTTAAATGAACGAGGAAACTAACTAAGAACCATCGACATCAATTAGCAATTGAAAAAATTTCTCACTCTTCCACCTTCCTTTTTATTTTACAAAATTGTACAGAAATTCTGGCGTCATTAAAAATACTCAACTTGGATAAACCAAGAAACTGGCTGAAAATGACTGGCACCAATTAGCGACTAAAAAAAATGTTCTCGTCCCTGCTTCTCTATTTCATAATATGTAACACATAATATTTTACAGAAATCCCAGCTTCGTTAAAAATGGCCAACTTAAATAAACCACGAAACTAACTGAAAAACGCTGACACTAATTAGCAAACTGAAGAAAATTCCTCATTCTTTCTTCTTCCCTTTTATCGCACAAAATTTCACACAAATCCTAGCTTCATTAACAATAAATCTCGCCAACTTGACGTTAACGAAGAAACTAATTTAAAATCACCGAATGAGAAAATTCCTCTTTCTCTTTTTCCTTTAACAAAATCTTACCAGAAAAATTCCAAGTCTCGATAAATCAAGAAACAAACTGATCTATCTGCTCCTCCTCCTTCCTTTCTTCCTTCTTCTTTCACACAATTCTACACATCACATAGCTCGGTGAATAAACAGAGGCAGCTAACTTAAAACCACCGACACCAATTAACAATCGAAAATATTTCCCTCTCTTCCTCTTATTTCATAAAATCGTGCACGAATGGCTGCATTAGAAATACCAAGCATAAATAAACCAAGAAATCAGCTGAAAATCACTGACACCAATTACCAACCGAGGAAACCGAAAACCTACATAAAGCAACATAGTCTTTCGTGACAGGAAAGCGTATGCGATATCGAAAGGGTAAAATGTATGTAATCCGACTGGACGAGGTTCGCCCATTGAATGCTTAAGTCTTGAACAAGCAGCGTGCCGAGGGTCGGAATAGTAGATTTTATTCCTAGAATCGTCGCCATTCGGCCAAGATATACGATGTCCGACGTGGAAATACGCTTGGCGCGTTCGGTTCGACCGGCGACGTTAACGACAAACCGTGAAACGGCCGGAGTGCACGGATGATTTGTACTCGCGTGCCCCGTACACGCGGGCTTGCGGCTTGTTAAACGAATATCAAGGGGAGAAACGACGAATCTCGCGATAAATATCGCGCCAGCGTATCGCTCGTTACCAAGGCACGATACTCGCGTAGCCAGCGATCCTTGTCGCGTTTAAACATAGAAGAACCGCCGTGAATTTACCCTCAGGATAGCGATCAGACAATATTCGACGCGTGGTGAATACAAAGAGCGGTGATCTTCTTTTCCAGATTCTGATTGATTTCGATTTATTATTGGAGCAGCGTGAATTTCAGTTTTTCGTTTACCGCTACGTAGCATACATCGATCATTGGACCGATTAGACCGATTCATTGTTAGCGGAGGGTGAATTTCAGTTTTTTGTTTGTTACCAAATCCTATGTATATATCGATCGATGTTTTTGCATATTCGAATTTCTGTGAAGAGGATGAAAGAAACATGGTGCAAGCAGAGATCCGATCTGACAAGTATCGTATTATATATATTTGGCATCTGTTCATTATTTGTTAGTAAATAAATAAATATATTTTTGTATAGCTAATAGCGTACGATGAATTTCACAATGAATTTCATAACGCGTACTGAACAGAAATATAAACCCCGACACTGGTTTGTGAATGGCCTGTTCTAAAATACAGGGTGGTTGGTAACTGGTGGTACAAGCGGAAAGGGGGTGATTCTACGCGAAAAAAGAAGTCGAAAATATACAATAAAATTTTTTTGTTTAAGGCTTTGTTTTCGCGAAAATCGACTTTGAATTTTCGCTCGGTACGCGTGCGGTACGTTATAACGGATCTCACTGTATTATATTTATATTACATTATATATTACATTATATTATATTATAATATTATAGAATAATTTTGTTTTTTTAATTTTTCCATCGAGACAACGATATACAGTGAGATCCGTTATTATGAGACGCGATAAAGTGCACGCGTACCGAGCGAAAATTCAAAGTCGCTATTCTCAAAACAAAGCCTCGAACGAAAAATTTTTATTCCATATTTTCGACTTCTTTTTTCGCGTAGAATCATCCCCTTTCCGCTTGTACCGCCAGTTACCAACCACCCTGTATATTCCAATTACTGAAATAAACGAAAATGAGTTAAAATATTCACAAGAAAAGAAACACGTCTCTCTACATCATTTGCAACAACGAGCAATTTTTGTCATAAAAAGGAATTGGGATCCAAGTCCTTTTTTACGACTTTTGATCATTTTAAACAGAACTCAGAGAGGGTTGGTCGAAGTTCTACAATGCTTGCTAAATATATATTCTGGAACTTCCAAATATAATATGAAGAATATGAACTCCATTAATTTGTCTCTTAATTCCAACCTTGTCCTCGGTAGCTAAAGGCATCGTTGATGAACGTTGCGAAATATGGCGAACGTGCACACAAGTTCTCAAATAGAAGCAAAGGGGGAGGACGAGTTACGAGCGCGAAATGGCTGAAGCAGAGGCCGCGAAATAAACGAATGACGCAAACTGCCACGAAATTGTCCAATAGAGGGCCACGGAAACCCGATCGGGTCATCAGCATTCGCGAGAATCGCTACGAAACAAACGGTCAATTAGTCTAAACGAGGCGAACGAAATTTTTCTCTGGCCGAAAAATTGCGCTGATCGTTCTACGTCGTGATAAATATGCATGTCGCGTCACGATCGTCCTATGAGTTTACTTTTCAAGCGATGGAAAGGGCAAAGACGCGGCATGGATGAATTTAGTCCGATGTAAAAATAACAACACGTACTAGAATAATTGAACCGACGATACAGTTGCACGTTAAAACGTCAAAAAATAATTTCCACATGAAAAATCATTGCATATATCTTTATATCGGAAGACTGTTTAAAAAATAAGCCGCAGATTTTAACAAAGAATTTCATCAACCAGAAACTCAATTCGATAAACTAAATCCTGAACGTTAATAAAACATCCATCCTCTTTCGGAAGTAAAATTTACACAATCCATCGATAGAGGGAGATTCGATAACACGAAATAAATGACATCCTACCGATTCGTAGAATCATTTTTAACTCTTAAATCCCTTAAACCGCAGAGAAAATTCCTAAACCTCTACCAACGAAGATTTGCTTTATCTCTCGATCAATCGCTAAATCAATTCTGCCAAGGAGAGAAACTATTGCTGCCAGCTTTCGTACAACCAATCTGTCGGGAGATTGAAGGATTATTCCGATTTAGGGGATCGGAGACCAGAGGGTGGAGTATTCTTAACCCTCATCCATCCCTCAGTCTACCAACTTAATTTCTAACTTGACGTCGAACTACGTCTAAACTTGACGCACGATGGTAAAGAAAATTCGTATAATGAAAATATAGATACATATAGCTTTTAGAAACTTTTCTATCAGATAGTTGATGCAACCAAGTTCATGCAAGTTTACATTATAAAGGGGTTAATATCAATTTGTTAATAATATGAATGTACGTTACCTGAGGGGCCCATGACGGCCAAAAGTTCGCCAGGTTTAACAACGCCCGAGACATCTCGGAGGAGGGCTCGTTTCTCCTTGACCACCTGCAACCCCCGGAAGATTAGCTGCACCGGACGAGAATCCAGCGGGTACACCAACTGCAACGCTGAGCTTTCCACTCTGCAACAAACGATAGAAGGTTCGATCGAAATGCTCTAGTTTCATTCGTTTCGATTTCAAAGATAGAGATCTAATTTCCTTTGTTGATCTTCCATTGGAAAATTGGCGGAGATGTCTCTCTACAGGATTGGTTCGTGCTCGTCGATGTGTCTGGGTCGAAGGGAAAGTTTCCCAAAGGATTTATTTAATCGACGAGATACCTTGTCTCTTCTTCGATGTACCTTGTCTTCGTCGTTTCGAATTTCTTTCTATTTACTTGTTCGTCACGTTAATCCGTTTGTTCGTCATTTTTACGCAATACTTTTTGTCGTCTTCTATATACAGTTACCTGTTTAATATACTTCGCATGAATCACGTAGAAACGTATGGTTTTTGTATCGAGGCGTTGATTGAAATTTTTAATCGCAGCAATTTTTTAAAAGACGAAGTTTTTTGAAATACATGGATTTTACGTATTAAAGTTTGTATCGAGATAGATTTGATAAATGAAAATTTCTATTAAAGTAGATGCGAGTACTTGACGATTCGTATTAACGTAATGCACGGTTCAGTGGAGAAGTGGAGATTAACAGAATTCTAATTAATTTGTTACGAAATTAAATTAATTATGAAATATAGCGTAAGTCTGAAACTAAAGGAAGTCGAACTCTCCGTTTCTTGAACGTCATATCGATCAATATGCGAGAATTTTTACATAAAATGTGTACTCGATCGAAATCACTTTCATAGTCACTGACACAGTTAGTCATAGAAAATTTTCGGTAGTTTTCGACGTCTTTTCTATACAGTTTAATGCGTAATTCGGACAAATTCTGTCATTTGAAGACGAAGTTTGTTTCTGACATACAATCGGAGAGGATTTCGAAACCTTTTAGCGAACCGACCAGCTGCCAGAGCAACCGTCTGACAAACGCTCGGCTTCATAATAACAATGACGTGCCATCGGAGCTATTTCGCGACAGTAATTAAAGACCGACACGCGTTACGCCACGAATCAGACCGCGTCGAACAAGATCTGGCTCGCTTTCAAATGAAATTTCCTACACGTTCCTCGTCCTCTGCCTCATCGGAATAACCTCCTTCTCCTTCCTATCCAAGTACTTTCCATCGTTCGCAGTACATTCAGACGTACGACCATTATTACATTGAGCAATCTAAAATAACAAATCAAATTGAATGGCGACCGGTAACAAAGGTCCGAACCACATTTAGTACATTTCCAGATAAAGTGGCTTTTAAGCTACGCTGTTCCATAACTTTCAAGCGCCTAACGTGCTTCCAGTGTTTAACATTAAATCGCCTGCTGACGCGATATCTGCAACCTGTGTGTACCAGAACCAGATCTACTACAGGCACTGTAAAACCATAAATTCACTGTTAAACTGGTCGATTCTGAGCGAACTTATTCTCGGTTGCTGTACGATTCTTAACGTCTTACGTAGCCACACACTGTTACGATTATTCGACGAAACGAAGAATAGCGACTTGCGTGAATCTGACAACGATCTTCTTTAGTAAACGAGAAAATTGTACGTTGATCGATTTAGGAGACGATAGGGTTGTTAGAAGTTTTGAGAATTATTGAGTTGGCAACTAAGTGATTGCGGATTTTGTCATTAGGTGGTATTGACAAGATCCGCAACCCAATATCAAGGATTTTAATTGTTCGAAAAGGTGGAACAGAGAGTAGAATAAAGCTCGGCTCATCGATTCGCACATTCGTGTCTGGATATAAAAATTAGAATAAACGCGCTGCAAGTTTTAATTTCAATTTTTACACGCGAATATCTCGAGATCGAATGATGGCAATGGATATAACAATGACGGTATAGTTATCAATATCGTTGAATTTGTATTTCACGCACTTCGAAGATATCGAAAAATAAGATATAGAGATCTGGCTATAATGATATCAAAATCTCGTATAAAGAGTGACGGTAATAAAAAATTATTTTTAATGGAGCAACCCTATCACGAGAAGCTTTTTCATATAACAATAAATAAAGCAGATATTTAGCTTGGGAAATTATTCGGTGGAGGCTAAACGAGAAATAGTGTGCGATTTTCACGAGAAACGTTCGCCGTGATTCTGCACGTGTAATCGAAATGAAAATTCAGTTTATTTCAAAATAAACCAGCGGAGATTTCAACGAGCGCAAAAACGGGGATCATCCAGTTGCGGCTGGCAAAAAGTTCGTTTCGCAACGTGTCACGATGTTCGTCGAAGAGAAAGGCAAGAAAGAGATGCTTAGGAGGACACGTAAAACAGCTGTGCCTCTGTAGGTTCTTTGATAAAAAACGTTTTCGAAGTGAAATTGATTAATCTGTTAGGCACTTGTAACGTCATGTGGCTTAGAGGAAATTACATGCAGATGTACCTAATTTTTGTCTGCCTAAAAAAGGCGAAACTATATCTTAAAGATAAAAAAAAAAAAAAAGAAAGAGGAATTTAACAACTCATTTTACAACATACAAAATGAAAATAAATGAATATTTATAAAATACAGACACGATTAGAATGCTATGATATTTGAAATAGATTTTTCATGTAGAACTTTTATTACTAACAGTTTTGTATTAAGAATTCCTATCTTTATATTATTATTGCTACTTTCGAAAGAGAGATCGATTTATAACGTTGCTTTGCTTTTCATTAGCCCTCTTTATTTTTCAAATTTTTGAAGATCGTACAATTTGATAATTGTTAGACGTCGATCACTAATTGGTGGATCATGGATATTTATGCATTTAAGCGTGCAAAAATGTACACGGTATACACAGTAAATTGTTCGGTGTAATAGACAAATTAGAAAAGAATGAAAAGTATACAATTTAAAGGTTCCAACAATATATGCGATATCATATCGCGAAAGTTGTTATAAAAATATTGTTATCAGATTTATGTATTTATAGAAGATTTAAAGCTGCTAAATTTTGAAAAATTCGATATTTACAATACATATAATACAATATCCAATCTATTCATCAGCTAAAATAAATCTCCATGTTACAATTTCCTAAAAATCATATTCGCGAAATTACGAATTTGTTTGAACATCCGTGATGCAATAATTATAAAAAAAAAAAAAAATCCTACAAATCCTACGATTAACATTTCTATTCTACAATTAAGAACTTACTCATCCTATGCGACCCTTTCACTTGCATTACAAACACATTACGCCATCGTCGATTTACAAAAGTTAAGATCAATCTAGCTAAATCTGCTTACTTCCCTGTCATTAATTTCGCGTAATTCTTCGTGTCTAAAGAGATATCTGATTAAGAAACCAACTGGTTAACGAATGCTCCTAGTTCGACATCTAAATAGAAACGTGTTAATTTAATCGCGTTGAAAACGGTGAATGACGTTGAATTGGCAAGAAACTGTCGATAATTATCCGCCATTAACGATGGTAATCAAAATTATTTCGTGTCGATTTCAATTACATCGACTTGGGAAGAACTTTAACGACCATCGTCTGGGAGAACACGTTCAATAAAACGATATATCGGTTTCGCAAGCGCTCGGTTGGTCTTCCTGGAAGAAAGAAAAGACTGGACGATCAAAGAGGAACGATCATTTCGCGTTTTTCTCTCGATTAATATGATCGTACTCGTACAGGGAAGAAATTGCGCGGTCTTCGTATTAATCTCAATTATGTTGTCAAACTGCATGGCGTAATAGTTGTATCGAGTAAAAGTTCAATTTCGTTTGAGGGAAAAAGTCGATGAGAGGAAAAACTGAGAGAATCGGCCGTTCGATCGACGTTTCTTTAATTAAAATTCCTATCAAGTTGACAAATTAAGTCTCGATCATTCTACGATCCTATCCTATGATCGAATCGAACGTTTTTGGCGATTGAAAAAATTCCCAATAAATGATTTTAATAATTTAAATAATACCTCTTTTTTATCTTTTTTAAATAAAAATACTAAATTAAATAATAAGCTTTTTTTAGCGTATTTAGAAATACACCTTGTTACTTGTAATAAATTGGATATAATTGGGAGTAGGTTTAATTATTCTGGATAATTGTAATAATTGAAAAAGTTTTGATAATTACCTTTAATAATTTTAGTAATCGGAAATAATCGGTTTTAATCAAGCTGATAATTGAAAATAGCTTCGATAGTTTTAATAATTGGTAAAATGTCACCTTTTGTAAGATAAGTAAAAGGATTAATGAAAAGGCAGCTCTAGAAAATGAAATTAGGACATGGATTAGGAATGACATTTATTTGAAATTCCAAGTAGTAAAATTAGCTCTAAAGTCAATTTAAATAGTTTTATGATTGTTTTAAAAGGCAATGTAATAGCAGGTTCTTTCATTAAAATTCTCCGTGCAAGACGGTAAACTGAACTTCCGTTCGAGGCAACCTCGATTGTTTTACGACGATTCATTTCGATGCAAAATTACTTGGAAGTGGAAGTTGAACGATTTCGAAGACGAGAAAGCGTGCACTCGGTTCGTTGGATCGAAATTCTTCCGGCGAGAGGGCAATCCAAACTTTTCTCGTATCAATTTCAATTGCTTTTAAATCGTAAGTAATGCCTTTTAACGAGGAAATAGATTCATCGTAAACCCGATGTAACTTATAAGTTCTCTGAATAATTAATTTTTCTTAAATAAATTAATAATTAATAGAAATTTATATAAAATTTAATAGAATAGAAAACATAGCATTCGTCTTATTCTTTTCTATCGAAAATTCCATCGGAAATCGCGATAATGTTACATTAGCTTGATTAGTTGACTTTTTCAAGAATCTTTAAAGATTTCAAGAATCAAAGAATTCAAAGGATCTTTTTCCACCGCGTACGAAACTAATTTCCCAGGAATTTTCAAAGAATTACAACAACCTTGCGTTTTCTATACTTTAAGCATCTTCCAAACTATATCCATCATTCTTCGTTTGAAATTTTTCGACGAGAAACCATTGTTCTGCTCGCATTTCAAAAATCTTTTCAAAGCAAACCCACTCGCTGCATCGATTCT